AGTAGAAAATTAGTGGGGATAGGGTGGGAAAGAGTGGGACAGGACAAGAAATAATGGTAGCCATTTCCTGAACCTCTGGGTCTCAGTAGGTTTCTGCCAGGAATAGGCAGTGACCGTGTAGGAAGTTCGCGTGGATACCATAGCTAAGAGTAAGTCAGATATACTTCGTTCCACCTTGGTGCTCATTTTACGCACCCTGTGTAGTGTCTTGACTTCCTGTGGATGTGCTTGGTTGACAGTGGGTAGATTAGAAAGAATAGGATCATTCCTGTACAGCTTCCAAGAAAACAAAGCCAGAGTTAGACAGTTGTGTTAACCTAGAGCCCACGTTCTCCTTTCTCCTGACTGCTCTCAGACCTGTTGACTTACACATATCAGGACCCTCAGTAGGAGCTGGGACTAAAATGGTACTGATTGTCGCTCAGCCCTGCCCAGACCTGGGAGAAACCCAGATTGAGTTGTTTTTAATTGGGGCTGTTCTCTTGATACGTTAACTCGTATTGAGATTGATCTTTACCCAGGAAGGTGAGGGCAGGCCAGTCCGAATTCTCCGGATTTGGTTTTAGCTGTGAGGATCCCTCTTGACGACCCCTGGGAGTTAGCAGGTGGGTGAGGTCGTAGTGGCTTTCCGATGAAGGAGCCCGGTTCAGGGACCGTGGTGGTCCAAGGCCACGCTCATCCTGTTTGTCCTCGCCATGGTTGCTCAGGTATGTCTGGCCCAGTGTCTCCTAGAGGACATTTGTTGTGGGGAGTCAGGACTGAGCCAGGGCCTTTTCCTTGCCTCGTAACAGCTTTTCTCATCTGTCCCTCTTCAGACACCTGTGTGAGGACATCGGCAAACTGTGTCTATGGCAGCCAGCAAGACATTTTCTCAAGCCTCACAGACATTTGCCCGTCATTAAAGTTCTATCCAGTTCCTTCTACAAATCCCTACACTTATGAATAATTCTGCAGGGTATTATTTTCTCATCTAAACGTACAGTACTATATAATTGAAAATATTCAGGACTGCCCCCCATAGCCTGGATGTTAAGAAAAGCCATATCCCGGAACTAGCAGATGGCATAATGGGTACATCGCTGGACTCCCACACAGTTGACCATGGTTCGAGCCCCGGATCCAGTGACTTAAAATTCACACTGGGTGCATGTGCGTGCTTGCCCCATATACCTAGAGAACAATGGCCATGGCCATGCCCCCTGGGGGGCGATTTCTCGCTTTCTGTCTCTCTGGCAAGAGTACACACCCTATAGCAAATATCTCTCAACAAAAAAGAAAAGCCAGATCCCATATGGCTGACCATGGTTCAAGTCCCAAATTTGATGGCTTGAAAAACAAGCTGGACGTGTGGTGTGTATGTACGTATGTGCGTGCTCAAAATCCAGACGGGATGACAAGTGGAGAAGAAGGGATTGTGGTGGGACCGTGCCCCTTGGAGGGGTGTGCTTTCTCTCTCTCTCTAGTGAAGGATCTGATTTCTTAAGCACAGCAAGTTCAAAGTGTCCTTGCTACAGTCTTTCTTTGTTCCTTTTTTTAAATGAGTGAGAGATAAAGATTAGGTAGTATTGATAGGGTTTGCCATGCAGCGATCCCCCCATCCCAACCTCCCAGTTGCCTAGGATTATAGGTGTACACCAACTATGCCCAGTTTGTCCAGGCTGGTCTGGGATCTAAACCTAGGCTTTTGTGTAGATCCAGTGTCAGGTGGTAGGTAGTCCCGTCTTATCTATGCCACTGTAATTGGGCTAAAAGTGTACCGTTCTCATTTTTTTCTTTTTAAATTTTATTATTCCTTTTTTTTTTTTAAATTGCCAGCAAGCACATGGGCTTCCCAGAAAGAGAGAGAGAGAAGGTGCCCCTCGGGATTGTGGGCACACACACGCGCCCACTGTGTTTTCCAGGCCCCCCGGACTAGAATGCAAACTGTGGTTGGCCTTGTGGGATTCAGCTTCCTGTGCACAGTGCTTGATCACGGTGCTATAAGGCTGGCCCTAGTTATTTGTTTTTTCTAATAGAATTTTATAATGACACATGTTTACGGGGTACAATTTGATATTTCAAAACATGAATAGATTCTGTAATAATCATATCAGGATATGTATCCATTACCTCATTCATTTCTCATGGTGACAACACTCAGACACTTCTCTTTAGGCCAGGTCTATGGCATGGTTAAGGCAGCTGGATTCCAAGGCAGACCCTGTAGTTTGTGTCCCAGATCTGGCAGCTTGAGAAACACTCTGGGCACACGTGTGTGTACCCAAGGTCCCAACAGAATGGAGAAATGGAAGAGAAGGGATTGTGGTATCACCGTGCCGCATCAAGATGCTTTCTCCCTCCATCTTTCTTTGTCTCTCTGGTAAACACACGCACCCTCTGGCAAAATTAAAAACAAACAAAAACCTGTAGCTATTTTGAAATACGTAATACCTAGCTATTAACTCCAATCACCCTACTGTACAATAGAATGCCAGAACTTACTTCTTTTTCTTTGTTTTAAATTAGTTGGCTTCCAGAGGCTCAGGTAGTTCAGAGAGCCCTGAATTCTGCGGCTAACAATGTGTATCAGTACGGACGAGAATGGATAACTCACAAGGTAAGGGAAAGAACTTTCTCTGCTGCGTTCCCTTTGTGGGTCTTCACTGGTAGTGACGCCAGGCTTCGATAAAGCATAGATACTCTGTCTAGAACAGTTTCCTTTTTTGAAGTAGGCTTGAAGCTACAGGTTAGTAAGCAATGTAATCAAATACAGATGATGACTGAATAATAGTGCTCGTGGCCTGGCAGTCCGGTAGGTTGGTCATTCACTTCTTCAAGATAGATTCAGTTCATTATTTCTACTTGAAGACAGAAAGGCCACTAAGCTTGGGTTAAGTCATCAAGGAGAAAAAGGTCTTAATGCACATTAAATTCTACTACTTGTTGGTAACTATGCTTGGCAGTTTTGAATTAGTTTTATTTGATGTTTCCAAAAAATCTGCAGTAGTCTGACTTGTTTTTGCCTCTTTACAGATGAGGAAACAGACATGGCAAGGCTGAGTAAATTCCCAGTGTCGTGTAATTACTTGCAGACCATGGTTTCAAACTAAGAACGAATCCAGATTTCTTGTCCTCTCTGCTATAGTATGCTAGCAGTGAGTGCCTGAAACTGGATTATGTACTTTGAAGTGACACTTGAGATAAACCTTGAAGGAACGAACAGCAGACCAAGGAGGAGGGTGATTTAAGAAGGGTGTTGTGTGAGCCCAATGCAGAGATAGGAGTGTGCTTGACAGACGAGGTGGCTAAGATGCTGTTAGAGGAGAGCGCTTGAGGAGATGATTTTCCCTGAGGCAGAAGGCGCTTTAGGCAATCAATGACAGAGGAAAAGACACAGTTGTTGTAGCTGGTGCCCACCCTCCATTTTTACCGAACAGTGGGAGTAAATGTAGTCTGCAATTGTAATAATGCTGAAGTAAGGTCATGGAGTGATTGACAGGATTTGTGGCACTGAGACATGTGCCCAGAAAAATGTATTTGTATGCTCCCTTGTTTAAAATTCAAGAAGAAGGTGGCATGGTGGTTAAGGTTTGGGATCACACATGGCCCACATGGCCAACTCTGCAGTTTTTTCCTTTTTAAAAAAATTTTTTATTTTTCCACTTTTACCAGAGAGGGACAGAGTGAGAGAGACGGAAAGTGAGAAAGCAAGCCACCAGGTCCAGTACTCAAATGGTGGTCAGCTACGTGGGTCCTTTTTTTTGGGAGAGGTTTTCGCTATAGGGCGCGTGCGCTCGCCAGACAGACAGAGAGAGACATAGAGACAGAAAGTGAGAAATCACTCCCCAGGGGGGATGGTCACGCCGCAATCCCTTCTCCTCCATTCTCCTCTCGGGATCTTGGGCACGCACGCACACGCGCCCGGCGTGAGATTTAAGCCACCGGGTCCGAGACGCGAACCGCGGTCGACTACGTGGGAGTCCAGCGACATAGCCATTACGCTAACTGCTGGTTCCCAGCTATGTGGGTCCTTAACCGCCACTTTAACCTCAGTCAGTACCCTTGACTGCTGGCCCCACCTGACATGAGCTTTAAGCCGCTAGGTCCAGGACTCTTACTGCAGTCGACTCTGTGGGAGTCCAGTGACGTAACCATTACGCCATCTGCCGGTCCCCGATTAGACATACTTTTCTGGAGCTTGAGGGAGAAATCGGAGTGGGCTGTAGATGTGGTTTGAGAGTCATCTGATGGTATCCTTAGGATTGGATGAGATGGCCCTGTTGGCTAGGGCTGCCATAACAGAGTGCCATGGCTGGGTAAGCTTAAGTAACAAATTTGTCTTCTCACAGTCCTGGAGGCTGAAATTATGAGACCATCTTGTGGGCAAGATTGACTTCTTCTGAGACCTTGGTTTGCAGGTGGCCATCTTTTTCTCATGTCTTCACATGGTTTTCCTTGTGTCTTTTTATGTACTAATCTCTCTCTCTCTCTTTTTCCCTTTGGTTTTTTTTTTTTTTTTTCCCTAAGGCCTTTGTACTCCGTGGATAAGAGCAGGGGGGAGAGAGGGAAAGTGAAAAATCACCCCCTGGGGGGGATGGCCACACCACAATCCCTTGTCTTCCATTCTCCTCTTGGGATCTTGGGCACACACACACACATGTGCCTGTCCTGATTTTCAAGCCACCAAATCTGAGATTCAAACTGTGATCGACGATGTGGGAGTCCAGCACCTTGCTGGTCCTCCTAATCTCTTCTTTTTTCTTTTTTCTTTTTTTTTTTTCTTTCTTTTTTTAGAGAGGTTTTTGCTACAGGGCGCGTGCGCTTGCCAGACAGACAGACAGAGAGAGAGAGAGAGAGAGAGAGAGAGATGGAAAGCGAGAAATCACCCCCCGGGGGGATGGCCACGCTGCAATCCCTTCTCCTCCATTCTCCTCTTGGGATCCTGGGCACGCACGCACACGTGCCCGGCGTGAGTTTAAGCTACCGGGTCCGGGACTCGAACCACGGTCGACTACGTAGGAGTCCAGCGACATAGCCATTACGCTAATTGCTGGTCCCCCTAATCTCTTCTTTTTAAAGAGCCATCAGTCATACAAGATTAGGATCTATCCTAATGATTTCATTTTAACTTAATTATCTGTCTCCAAATATAGCCACTTTATAAATTCAGCATACAAATTTTGAGGGGAATGCATGTCAGCCCATCATGTGGCCCAGGAGAGTGTAGATTGAAAAGGACCAGAGACAGACCCTGGAGTATTTGAGCTTTTGAAAGTCAGAGAAGTGAGCTGTCTTCGGGACTGTCCTGTGAGGTGGAGGAAAGCAGCCTGTGTCACAGAAGCCTGTAGAAGACAGTGTTGCAAGGAAGACTTGGTCAGCTGAGATTTCAAGCAAGATAAAGACAGAATTCCACTGACTTTTATCTTTCCTATTTTAGAGATGAGGATAGTTGGCTCTTTCTTGGCATTCTGACAATTCCTAATGCTTGATTTCCTTTCATATGCAAAGAAGCTTGTCCAGACAACCAATAATACCTGCGCTTAAGCAATTGTCCTAACAGAATCCTAAGCCCCTTAGGCTCTGTGCTGTCTGGCCCAGTGTTCTTTGTGTCTTCCCATAATTGTAATGTTGCAGGACAATATTCTGAGGCTGTAATGTTCTGCTCTGGTTGGTAGCATCACAATTTTGGAAAGAGTATTTCATAATATGTAAAATGACGCTGAAATTTTCTTTACTTTATAAGTTGTCTTATTTTAGAGTAATACACTGTTGTTCCAGGACTGAGACAGCTAAAAGAGATGTCAATTTAAAGCAGTACTTTATTGTGTGGGCAAACAACTTTGGGCCTCTTCTGGTTAGGGAGATATAAGAGGCTGACAGGAGAGTGACATGGAGAATTGATAGTAGGAGGGCAGTGAATCTGACAGTCATCGTACATAAGCGATTAACTGGAGCCAGCAGGTAGCATAGTGGTTAAGGCACTGGACTCCCACGTGGCCGACTATGTTTTGAGTCCCAGACCTGGCAGCTTGAAAATCAGATCGGGTGCATGTGTGTACATGCTCAAAATCCCAGGAGGAGATTGGAAGAGAATGGATTGCAGCATGGCTAACCCTACTGGGGTTAATTTCTCATTTTCTATCTCACTGTCTTGTTCGTCTCTCTCTCTCTCTCTCTCTCTGGCAAGTGCATACGTCCAAAGGCAAAAACCTCTTGAAAAAAGAAAAGAAAAAGATCTGTGTAGGGCACCAGCTCGCTGGACTCCCACGTAGTCGACCGCGGTTCGCGTCTCAGACCCGGTGGCTTAAATCTCACGCCGGGCGCGTGTGCGTGCGTGCCCAAGATCCCGAGAGGAGAATGGAGGAGAAGGGATTGCGGCGTGACCATCCCCCCTGGGGGGTGATTTCTCGCTTTCTGTCTCTCTGTCTCTCTCTGTCTGTCTGGCAAGCGCACGCGCCCTATAGCGAAAATCTCTCCAAAAAAAAAAAAAAAAGATCTGTGTAGAAAGATGCTCATTTCAGTGTTAGTATTAAAAATCAGAGACCATTTGTATATTCAGTGAACAAATACAGATTAAATAATAATGCAAAAACTCAATGCTGGAACAAATATAAAACAATTAAAGATAAAGGTTAGTTACGAAAGTCAAGGTTAAATGATGATGGTGATATAAAAGAGAATATAGAGTTAGATTACATATATGTAAATAGGAATTGCAGAGCAAATAGAATATAGAAATACTTGTCTTAAGAAAGTGGGACCGCAAATTAATGTCTTTTCAAAATTATCTTTAATCTTGGAACCAGCAGTTAGCATAATGGTTATGTCGCTGGATTCCCACGTAGTCGACTGCGGTTCGTGTCCCGGACCCAGTGGCTTAGAACTCATGCCGGGCGCGTTTGCGTGCGTGCCCAAGATCCCGAGAGGAGAATGGAGGAGAAAGGATTGCAGCGTGACCATCCCCTCTGGGGGGTGATTTCTCGCTTTCTGTCTCTATATCTGTCTCTGTCTGTCTGGCGAGTGCACGTGCCCTATAGCGAAAACCTCTCCAAAAAAAAAAAAAAGAAAAAAATTATCTTTAATCTTGCTTGTGTTTTTTTTTTTTTTTTTTTTTTTTTTTTTTTTAGAGATTTTTGCTATAGGACATATGTGCTTTCCAGAGAGACAGAAAGCAAGAAATCACCCCTCCTGGAGGGATGGCCACGCTTCAATCCCTTCTCCTCCATTCTCCTCTAGGGATTTTGGGTACACATGCACACATGCCCAGCATGAGTTTTAAGCCACTGGGTCTGCGACTTTAACCATGGTCAACTACATGGGAGTCCAGTGATGTAACCATTATGCCATCTGCTGTTTCCTAGGTTGTGTGTATGTTTCTTTATTCACAATAGAGTACATGTGTGCATGTGAAGATTGGGGTAGGAAGGAAGGGAGAGAGGCAGGAGCACCCCCTATAGGGTCCCCTTGATCCCTGTACTTCAGTCCTCCAACCTGTCAGATCCTGGGCAGTCCCGTGTATCTTGGGCTGACCTGGTGATATTCCAATTGTGGTTGCCATGTCAGAACCAACTTCCCTTGAGCAGTGTATTACCACTGCTGATCCAGTGGTAATATGGATATTACCATGTGGTACGGTTTTTCTTCTTGTAAAATTTTCAAAAGAATGATTTTATTTGACTTTATTTATTTATTTTAATTTGACCAGAGAGGAACAGAGAGAGAGAGAAAGAGAAAATGAGAAAGCAAGCCACCAGATCTGAGACTCGAACCACAGTTAGCCATGTTGGAGTTCAGTGCCTTTAACCACCATGCCACCTTTCGGCCCCCATGCGATATGGTTTTAGTGAGATAAGATATGATAGTAGCCTTCCTCTGAGTTATGTTGACTCAGTATACCTGATTACCACAAGCCCAGAAGCCAATCTGATCAGTCAGAACAATCTGAGATCTGATTTCTTTCTGCAAGCAAAACTAAGGGAAGGGTTTATGTTTCTAGCTAAGATTCTATAATTTTATTGTAGTTCTTTTTTTAAATTAAATTTTTTTTGAAGAATTATTTTATCTTGACTTTCTTTTTTTCTTTTCTTTTTTTGGAGAGGTTTTTGCTATAGGGCACGTGTGCTCGCCAAACAGACAGAGACATAGAGACAGAAAGCAAGAAATCAGCCCCCAGAGGGGATGGTCATGCCGTAATCCCTTCTCCATTCTCCTCTCAGGATCTTGGGCACGCACGCACACGCGCCCGGCGTGAGTTTTAAGCCACTGGTCCGGGACGCGACCTGCAGTCGACTACGTGGGAATCCAGCGACATAACCATTACGCTAACTGCTGGTTCCCCTTAACTTTATTTTTAATTTGACCAGAGAGAGAGAGAGAGAGAGAGCGAGCGAGCTAGCTGCCAGGTCCAGAACTTGAACTGCAGTTGGCTGTGTGGGAGTCCAGCACCCTCAACCACCATACCACCTGCCAGCCCATTTTATGATAAATCTTAATAAAAGAGAGAAATGTGATTTAACACGAGACTTATGTATAATGGATGGGCACTGGGATCTCATGGGTAGATAAAACCAGACGAATCAGTGATCATGGTTTCATTTGCCCCATTCTCTGATAACCTGAAGTAGCTCTCTTAGAGTCCTGGGACTAGAAGAAAGAAAACAGAAGCCAAAATATGAAAAAGGAAGGGAAATTTATAGGAATATTGAGAAGTGAGGTTTAAGAAGAGAACATAATATGTCTAGAGATAATCACATAGTCTGGATCATTTTAGTTTTATTTGGAACTGTACATAAAGACTCAGATGTATTAACTTTACTAGATTTGGCTCCTAAAATATTAAACTAGATTATATCTTTTTTGTTTTCCTAGCTTCATAAAATTCTAGGAGATAAAGTGAACAATACTGCTGTAATTGAAAAGCAAGTACTAGAACTTTGGGATAGACTGTACCATTCTTGGTTTGTAAAGGTAAGTTATTTCAGATAAAGGTTCCTGTTATAAATGAATAAAGTCCTTTTATTTTACAGACTCTTCTACTAGATGAGATTATAACAACATTGGGATTTCATTAATAGAAATAAAATTATTTCTTCCATGGAAAAGAGAGAAAGAGAGCTGGGTACCCCAACAGGGCCCTCACACCTTGACCCACTCAGTCTCAGCCAGCCTTAATGGTGGATGCGCGTGCTCTTGGCATGTACAGGCAGGTTGTGGGCAAACCCAGGACCTTTCCCATGTGAATCCAGTGTTACTACTGGGCCACTGCCTGGTCCCTGTTGACATTTTTAAAAACTGATTTTTGTTTTGTTTTTATTATACCAGTGGACATGCGTGCATGAGAGAAAGAGAGAGGGAGAGAAAGAGAATCAAAACCCCACACAGAAGGGACCAGCAGTTAGCGTAATGGCTATATTGCTGAACTCCCGTGTAGTCAACCGCGGTTCGAGTCCTGGACCTGGTGGCTTAAACTCACACCAGACGCGGGTGCGTGCGTGCCTAAGATCCCAAGAGGAGAAAGGAGGAGAAGGGATTGCGGTGTGGCCATCTCCCTTGGGGGGTGATTTCTCGCTTTCTGTCTCTCTGTCTGTCTCTTGTCTTTCTGACAAGCGCACGTGCCCTATAGCAAAAAAAAAAAAAACTTCTCCAAAAATAAAACCCCCACACAGAGCTTGGTCATGCTATAATCCTTTTTCTTGCAGTTTTCTATCCTGTCAGAATTGTGTGTGTGTGTGTGTGTGTGTGTGTGTGTCAGAATTGTGTGTGTGTGTGTGTGTGTGTGTGTGTGTGTGTGTGTGTATGTGTATATGTGTGTGTTTGTAAAAAGAGGGGGACAAGACTCAAGCCTTGGTCAGCCATGTAGGAGCTGGTTTCCTTAGCACAGCATTTAACTGCTGCACTGTGAGATTGGCTCCCTGTGGAAGCAACATTTTTTTAAGTTTTTTTTTTTTATCCATGATAAAGAGCATGTACATGCACATGGGTTGGGGAGGGGGGGAATGAGAGCGAACTCCCAGTGAGTCTGGTCCTTTTTCTTTGAAGTCTCCATCCCTTTAGGATCTTTGACACATGCACATGTGCCAAGCATGTTGCTGCAAGGCCAGGATTTGAACTGCATTCAGCTACATGGGATCTCGCCTCCTCTGCACAGTGCTTTGCTATATGCCACCAGACCTCCTTTTTTTGTTTTTGAGAGAGAGAAACTTTTGCCATAGGGCACGTGCACTCGACATTGAAAGACAGAAAATAAGAAATCACCCCTTAGCGGGGATGGCCATGCCACAATCCTTTCTCCTCCATTCTCTTCTCAGGATTTTGGGCACGCGCACACATGCACCCGGCATGAATTTCAACCTCTGGGTCCGGGACTCAAACCGCTTGGTCATGCGGGAGTCCAATGACGTAATCATTATGCCACCTACTGGTCTCCCTATTGAAATTCTTAAACAAGATCTTAAGCCCGAGGTCACGAATAGTCAGCTTGTGTTGATGGTTAGTCCCCATGGCAGGGCCTGGCAGTCCCTCTGCTATGTCAATGTCTCCCTCTGTTCATCACCATTGACAACACCTCATCCTCCAGGTGAGCTGTATGCCTTGAAAATCTGTGCACATATATAGCATTCATTTTATGACTATATTAAAAGGTATAACTGGTGAACTTAATTATAGTAATAGGTTCTGTTTAATCCAGTATACCCCAGATACTGTCGTTTCAATATGTAAGAAATAGGAAAAAATATTAATGAGCTATTGTATTCGTTTTTCCTCCATCCTGAGTGTTCAAAATCTGATATGCACTTTACACCAACAGCACATGTCAGCTTTTGAACCAGCCCATTCTAAATGCTCAGGAGCCACATGTGGCTGGCTGCTGCTGTTTTGGACAGCATAGATATAGACCGTAAGAACTTTCGAGGCAGTGAAAATAGATCTAAACATTTAGAGATCTTTATCTTAAAAAATCAGCTTTCCGTGCTGCTTACTGCATTATTTATGGTGGAAAAATGGACTCCCACAGGGCCAGAGGTGGCTTGAGTCTGGACCTGGAGGCTTGAAAATAACACTGGGCACCTGCGAACGTGTGCCTAAAATCCCAAGAGGAGAATGGGGAGAGCGAGTTGCAGAGTGACCGTCCCCCTGGTGGGTGATTGCTCACTTCACTTTCTCTTTCTTTCTCTGGCAAGTGCATGTGCCTGATGGCAAGGAAAATGTATATTTCACTATGTATAAAGATGGTGGTTTTAAAAGCAGCGGGTATGTTAAGCCATGCTATGTGAACACAGGTCTGTTAAGGCCTGTGGGCCTTCAGGAGCTATGCTGTGTGCCCTGGGGCTGAGTTGGAAGTGAATGTTCCCAGGTTAGGGTAATGAAAGGAGGAAGACATTTGAATCTCTTCTCTTGGAGGTTCAAACAGTGGAAAGGAGAGGCCTGGCTATAAGTTTGAATTTGTTGCCTAGTGACTGGTTTGAGATTCTGTACTCTTGCCCTGAGATGAATCGAGGGCATAGCACTGACTTTTGTAGGTTTGGAAGACTGAGAGTTAAACCTAACTGGGGAATAGCTAGGTTGACTATCATATATTTGATCCCATCTGCTAAAGAGCCAGATAATAGAATAGCTGGTTCTATTTCCTTTATTAACTATGGGACTTCTTAACAGCTTTTACCGTGTATCATTCCTTTTGAGTTTCATTTAATACTAGAGGAATATCAGTGTCTTAAAGGCATAGATTAGTAAGTGGACATTGCTTTCTTTATCTATTTCACTAGGACCTAATGTCTTTCTCCATTGCATAATGGAAATTAACATCATTAATCCATTCGTAAAAGTGGGAGAATGATGTGGCCAGCAGGAGTGTGGTGGTTAAGAGCGCTGGACTCACACATGGCTGACCAGGGTTTGAGTCCTGGACCTGGTGGCTTACTTTCTCACTTTCCCTCTCTCACTCTGTCCCACTCCGGTAAAATTTAAATAAATAAATAAATAAATAAAGTTAAATAAAATTTTATATATATATATTTTTTAAAGTGGGAGAATGATAACACATAAAAAATGTTAGTTTACTTCTGAGTTTAAGCTCATTGGCCAATTTATTCATTTCTCTTTCAAGTTCAGTTATTGATGCATCTCTACCAATGTAATTCTCTTCCAGAAAGACAAGTTAAATTTTCCTCCTTACTCTTTTTTTCTGTCATACTCTTCTCCCCATCTCCACCTTCCATCTTTAATCTTTTTTTATAATTATTTATTTTATTTTATTTATTCATTCATTTTTTTTTTTTAATTTGACCAGAGAGAGACAGAGGGTGAGAGTGAAAGAGAGAGGAAGTGAGAAAGGAAGCCACCAGATTCAGGCCTCGAACCTTGGTCGGCTATATGGGAGTGTCCAGCGCCTTAACCACCACGCCATCTGCTGGTCCCCCATCCTTAATCTTTTATGGCACATTAATAAGGGTGATGAAGAAAAGAGGAAAAAATAAAAAATAAGAGACCAAGAATAAGGTGGACAGACTAAAAATAAAAGATAAAAGTAAACACTATGAGCATACTTTTGTGTGTGTTGAGTAGTAAAGCGTGTTCACAGACATGTCGACGAGGGATGTCCTTGAGTGAAGGGGCATGTAAAGAGAAGTAGATGGAAAAATAGTGTATTTGAGGTCTTTACATTACATGGAGTTCGCAGTTGTTTTCTTAAACAGTGCAAGCTTTTCACCTTAGAATATCTCCTGGAGTGCTTAAGTGGACCTACAGCAACATGGGACATTTATGCTTTTCACTCTTTAGATGACGATGGAAATGTCATGTCTGAACTGTTTCATTCCATAGAATGTGACCCATTCTGGAAGGCACAAAGGACACAAGATGCACGTGCATCGTCAGAACAGCTGGCTGGGAGACATTCTGGACTGGCAAGACATTGCTTCCTTTGTTCACGAGAACATTGAGACATTTCTTTCGGTAAGAAATAGCATCTGTAGTTTAACTGGACTTAGAAATGAGAAGAGAAACTGTCCTTCCAAAGTTTCCTTTACACACTTTGAAGACTTCAGTTACCCTGTTTTACATTCCTTGCTCTTAGAGGTTTGAGAACTTTAAATGCACTAGGAGAAAGGCATCCCAAGCCGCAGGCCTGGCGTGTGCTCCCTGGTACTTCCTCTGTGGTTGAAGAGTCACCGGGAGGGCCAGCAGGTGGCATGGTGGTTAAGGGCGCTGGACTCCCACATGGCTGACTGCGGTTTGAGTCCCAGACCTGGCAGCTTGCTTTCTCACTTTCTCTCTCTCTCTCTCTGTGTCAAATTAAAATAAAATAAATGAATACATAAAGTTAAATAAAAATAATTCTTTAAAAAAAAAAAAGAGTCACCGGGAGAGGCTGAACACTGAAGCGTGTGAGACGTGCTGTGGCCTCTCAGGTTGTCAAATAGGAATCCTTGCCTCTTTAAGTCAGCCAGAATGTTCCCAGCTAGACTATCAGAGAGGGCCCTTCCTCTCTGGTGGGTGACGTCCTTGACAGATGGAAACGTGGTTTCTGTTACATTACAGAGACTGACGTGTGAAGGCTTTGCTCAGCTTTCCACCTCCTCTCCCACCATGCCCTATCCACCTCTGCAATATCGCAGCATTGCTAAGTGCTCACTACTGCTTTTCGCAGAGATGGGAAGGCTTTTCTTGTGACCTGTGACTTTCCTCAAATTAATGGAAGTTGAGATTTGTGGTGCTAGATTTTTTTATGTATTTAGTTTTTATCAAAGTTAATACATGACCATAGTTGAAAGTCAGTACTTTAAAAAAAAAATTGTTGTAGCGTGTGTGTGCTTACTGGAGTGAGTGAGAGTGGGGTGGAATGAGTCCTTAAGAGGAGATGGCCATGCTTCAGGCTCTTTTCCATTCCTCTCAGGATTTTGTGTGCACACACATGTGCAGTGTGTCTTTGAAGGCACTGGATCCGGACTTCAGCTGTGCAGTCTGCCAGTTGTGATTCAGCCTCCTTAACCACCGCATACCAGCTGGCCCACCTTTTTTTTTTTTGGAGAGGTTTTTGCTATAGGGTGCGTGCACTCACCAGAAAGACAGAAAGCGAGACATCACCTCCCGGGTGGGGATGGCCACACCGCAATCCCTTCTTCTCCATTCTCCTCTCGGGATCTTGGGCACCCATGCACGTGCCTGGCATGAGTTTAAGCCACCAGGTCTGGGACCCGAACCGTGGTTGACTGCATGGGAGTCCAGCGACATAGTCATTATGCCAACTGCTGGTCTCTTTTTGTTTTTTCTTTTTAAAAGCTAGAGTCTCACTGTGTAGGATCCCTTTGCTTCAGCCTTCCCACTGCAGCGGGGAGGCCCACAGGCACACATCACCACTCCGGGCTCATTTTAGACTCCTGGTCTTGCTGTGTTATCCAGGCCATCTTTAAGCTCACAGTCCTCCTACTTCAGACTTCTGAGTAGCTAGAATTTCAAGTATCCACCTCCACACCCAGTCTTTAGGATGGACTGAAATTTGCTCCCAGCCTGGGGGAACACAGTGTTTTAGTGCACACCACTACCATGGCTCAGCTAGAAGTTTTTATTTTTTATTTTGCCAGATGGCATGTGCTCTTGCCAGAGAGGAGGAGGGAGAAAGCAAATCCCACTGGGGTGTAATCATGCGGTGTGATCATACGGCAATCCAGTTTCCTCTATCTCTCTCTCTTGTCAAGATTTTGGGCACACACACATGCCTGGGTATTTTCAAGCCACTGGATTTGGGTTAGGAACCATGCAGTTGGCCTGGGGTGTTCAGGATCCCTTAACCATTGGTACAGGGCTGGTCCATGGACCAAAAGATTTTTATTAAAAACAAGTAGTGTACTACTCTGTGCCTCTTAGCTTTGGTCTCAGTCTTCAGAAACAGCTGTCAACCCCTTTAGCTTTCTCTGCGTATGTGCCTCTGAATTTCTAAAACAATATTAATGCTGCTCTCTCTTGGTTTTGCAATTATAGGTGTTATCTTTTGGCTTCCTAATATGGAAGATGAAGGTAAAGATGTGACTTTTTTACAAGCCCCTTACTGCTTTCTTATACCTCTCTGGGGGGGTTCTTACAACTCCTTCAGTCCCGACTTGAGTCCCTGCAGTCACATCCACCTGATGTAGCTATAACAGTTTGGAATTAAATCTAGATATTCATGCCCTTCAGTTTCCACAATAGTCTACTTCTGGTTATCCCTTCTCTCTGTTTTCTCTAGTTCTGTGGTTCTCAATTATTTTGGTCCGAGGACTGCAAATTGCATATCTGTCCATTACATAATTACATGACATGTTAACATAAGGAACAGGCTTTCGTGAAAAATACTATTTTTCTAAAATCAATGTAGGGAGAAGAGTGGCAGAACAGTTAGGCATTGCTGCCTTGAGCCTCCCTAGGCCCCGGAGGTTTTACCCATCATGGATTGCCTTCGCACCATCAGTGGAAGTGTCAAGACAGTGAGAGGCAGGCGTTTGTGTACTGTTGATTTACTTATTGCCAGAGGGCAGAGGCTCTTGTCAGAGCGGGGAGGAAATTACCTCCCAATGGGACATGGGTCTTGCTGCACTTCTTTTTCTTCCATTTCTTCTTTTCATGAGGATTTGGGGCATGTGCGTACATGTGCTCTCAGTTTCCAGGGTTGGGATTCGAACCACAGTTGGCTGTGTGGGCTCTGTTGTTCTATACACTGTGCTTAACAGTTGCACTATGAGATTGGCCTTGTTTGAATATCACTATGAAAATACCTTTGACTTTACAAATCCTCAAAAAGATCTTGGGGACTCCAGCTGTCCAGAGGCCAAACTTTGAGAACCACCTATCTGACATTCTTTTTTTTTCCTTTTTAATTTATTTCTATTTTTTGAGAGAAATTTTTGCTATAGGGCACATGTGCTCACCAGAGAGACAGAGAAAGACAGAAAGTGAGAAATTACCCCTCTTAGGATGGCCATGCTGCAATACCTTCTCCTCCATTCTCCTCTTGGGATTTTGGGCATGCACGCAAATGTACCTGGCATGAGTTTTAAGCCACTGGGTCTGGGACTTGAATTGTGGCCTACTACATGGGAGTCCAACAACATAACTGCTACGCCATAACTGCTGGTCCCTATCTGACTTTCTAAAGTGCCTATTAGAAATATGCTTGGCCTTGGGACCAGCAGGTCGCATGGTGGTTAAGGCACTAGACTCCCTCATGGCCAACTGCGATTCTAGTTCTGGACCCTGTGACTTGAAAATCATGATCCCAAGAGGAAAATGGAGGAGAAAGGATTTCCTGGTGTGGCCATCTCCTTGGCGTGATTCCTCACTTTCCCTCTCTCTGTCTCTCAGGAAGAGCACCCAAGTCCTATGCAAAAACCTAAAAAAAAAAAAAAAAGTAAATCAATAAAATTATACATGTTGGGCCTCTAATGTGGATTCCTTAATATTCGAACATCTTTTCTGTTTTCTCTCTGTCTTTTTATTTCCTAAGAAGCAGCTTTAACTATGCTTTTTTTTTTTTTTTTTGTTAGGGCATGTGCACTCACCAGAAAGACAGAGAGAGATAGAGAGATAGAAAGCGAGAAATCACCTCCTGGGGGGATGGCTACGCCACAATCCCTTTTCCTCCATTCTCCTCTTGGGATCTTGGGCATGCACGCATATGTGCCTGGTGTGAATTTAAGCCACCAGGTCTGGGAATTGAACCGTGGTTGACTACATGGGAGTTCAGTGACAGAGCCATTATGCCAACTGCTGGTCCTAACTTTGCTTTCTTTAGTTAGAGAGAGATTTTTGCTATAGGGTATTTGTGTTCACCAGAAAGAGAGGCAGAAAGCGAGAAAATCACCTCCCAGGGGAGATGGCCACTTCACAGTCCCTTCTCCTCTACTGTCTTCTCAGGATCTTAGAAACACATGCACATGTATCTGATGTGAGTTTAAGCCACTGGGTCTGGGACTTGAACTGTGGTCGACTACACGGGAGCCCAGTGTCATAACCATTATGGCATCTACTGGTCCCTTAATTCATGTCTTCCACTCTTCAGATTTTATACTTTTTCTTTCTGTTTAGATTTTAAGTTCTTAGAAGAAGAATCTCATTTATCACCACCTTAGAATTTAGCTTGGTGTTAGGTTCGCAATTAAACAATTAAATTGGGTTCTCAATTATAGCCTGAATAATATTGGGTGGTGGAAAAGGTCATGACACATTTTTTGTGTAGAAAAACATATCATGGGACCAGCAGTTAGTATAGTGGCTATGTTGCTGGACTCCCATATAGTCGACCGCGTTTCAAGTCCTGCGGCTTAAACTCACACCAGGCGCCATGTGCGTGCGTGCCCAAGATCCCGAGAGGAGAATGGAGAAGAAGGGATTGCGGCGTGGCCATCCCCTCTGGGGGGTGATTTCTTGCTTTCTATCTCTCTGTATCTCTCTGTCTTTCTTGCGTGCACACGGGCCCTATAGCAAAAAAAAAAAAAAAAAAAGGGTGACTTTTTTGACAACCCAGTAATCAGTTTGTATTTAGAAACACAGTGGCAGAATCAAAAGGGTGTTTCCAGGTCACCTCACAACCTGGGCTTTTTACTTACTGATTTATTCTATTTATTTTAATAAAGACAGGGTTTTCGCTTTGTTGCCCTGGCTGGCTTGTGAACTCATGATCCTGCTCTCTCAGCCTCGCAGGTAGCCGAGGTTACAGAAGCGTTTCACTGTGTAGCCTCTTTGCCTTCTTACCTATGAGGAGACTTCAAAAAGTGTGTGAAAAAATGGAGTTAAATGATGAATTAGCTTTGGTACAAAAATACCTTGAAATTTATGCATAGTTTTTTTATTTCCTTCTGGACGATGCTCACCTGAGAGTCAGAGAGAAGTGGGAGGTTGAGGTAGAACACACTCCCCAATGGGACATGTTCGCACTGCAGTCCTCTGTTTCTTCATCCTGTTGGAATTGTAGGCATGCGCGTACACATGTCCACGTAGTTTTTCAAGCCAGCAGGTCTGGGTTGAACCATGTGGTTGACCATGTGGGATCTGGCTCCCTTCACCATCAAGTCTCTGGGTGACTCCTTGCTTTTTTTTCCATAATAACTCATTTTCTATGATCTTTTGAAGACCCTTCAAAATGTTTCACACTCTTTCAGTAGTTATATTTCCTTCTTTTTCAACTTAAGTACTGAGTTTTATAGGGCTTGCTGTTGTTCCTGCCTTTACTAATTTCCTCCTTCCTAAGCCTGGCATTTAAACAATTAATAAAACTACTTTACCTTAAGGATTTTGTTAATGTTGTAGAAATATCTTTTTCTCTTATTTCCTACAGCTGATTCTCTTTCGTTCCAGTAAGAAAAATTGCTTGATTGTTCTTGGAGACTACCAGTCTACAATTAATGTTGTCAGTTAATTCTTAAGAATTACTTTAGGGTATTGTCTATCAGTCTGACCGAGAAAGTATTTAAAAATTCTTTAATAGAAATTCCAAAAGGAATTCCTGTCAAGACCACAAATAAAAGCATTGTCAAGTTTGTTTCTGCCAATTGGTAGCATTGTTCATTCATCCTTTATCCCGCAAGGTCAAATAGTCAATCATGCATATTTTTGTAGTCATTGTGAAACATTTTTAAGATTTTATGTAAGGAGTTTTTGTAAACGAAACCAGCCTGCCAAAGTCCTCTTTATAAAAAGTAAGCTGAGGATTGCAAGAAATGCCAAGGGCAACAAAATATGCCTTTATAAGTGATACATTTGAGGTAGGAAAAGAATGGATAGGCCTTTCATAGAATAGACTGTGTAACTTCAACAATCTGATAAAAAACAGATCTGCTGTTTTGCAAAGGGCACCAAAATAAAAATGAGGCATTATGCATTCTGGTTTTAGCTCTACTTATTAGCTCCATGTGCCCTTGAGCAGGATTTTAAGAATTTCTGAGCTCCAATTTGTATATCTGTAAAATAGATTATATCATCTGTATTGATTCCCACAAAGCATTTGTTGGGAGGGTTTTGTTTTGTTTTTCTTTTAGAGAGATTTTTGCTATAGGGTGTGTTCGATCACCAGAGAGACAAAAAGACAGTGAGAAATCACCTCCAAGTTAGGGATGGCCATGCCACATCCCCTTCTATTCTATTCTATTCTATTCTCCTCTCAGGATTTTGTGCACACATGCACATGAACCTGGCGTGAGTTTCAAACCTCCAGGTCTAGGACTCGAACCACATTCAGCCATGTGGGAGTCCAGCAACGTAACCTTTACACCGTCTGCTGGTCCCTGTTGTGAAGTTTCCAAAAGCATTTGAAAACTATCATGGAAGGTGTTTTCCTGTTCATTTTGCTTCTGTTTTTCATTAAGAAAAAGAATAGTCCACTTGGGAAGAAAAGAACAGACATTATCTTAAGGGAATGTAAGTTCATGAAGTGGTGGAAAATGATATATATATATATATATATATTTAACCATCCGGATATCTGAATCTAGTAAATTTGCAGGACTCAATATAATGGTCATTGTCTATCTCAGGAACGACTTTCTCTTACAGAACTCTGCCCTTGACTTTATCTGTTAATTACTTTTATTGTGATTTTAATGAAGTCACTGAAATGATGCTTTTTATGTTTATAAATAAATCTAAGTTAGAGATGCCAGTGTAGTGGGTAGGCAGGGAAGGAAAGAAAGCTAGAGATTTATGCCTATACATAGGATCCTACAAGATAAATATAAACACAGGCTGTATTCTGGCCTATTCTCCTGTAGGTATTTTTTTACTTCATATGCTGTTTTTGACAAGTTATAATCAAACTATATATAACATGTTTGTATTCTTACTTTATTTATTTATAGTTCTTAAGGTTTTGCCGTAGGGCATGTGTGTTTACCAGAGAGACAGT